TAGAAAAATAAGTGAGGCGTAATAGTGTAGTTAAACCGTCATATCGTTTGGTGTGCAATGGCTATATATCATGGCAGTGAAAAGCGTCCAAGGGAGATAACTCTGTCCATATTAGCGTACAGCTCCGGGCTCGTATTTCACCGTCTTTGACGAGGAGCATCTCGTCAAGGCATCTGGTATGCCGTCCGTAGGTAATGAGGTATGTATAACCACGTGGTTTGGGATTGAGTTACCGCGAGACCGTGTCGTCGTAATACCTGTTAATTAACAACATATGTCAAAATGATTCGATATCTTACTCAGGGTAAAAAGAGAAAGAAGAAGACGAAAATGAACATATGTTTTTCCAAACAATTTCAGGGGTCGGAACGAAGAAACCGCCCCTCGAATTTAGGGGTTAGCTCGGTGGCTAAGACGGTAATGAGGTCTTTTCTAATGTTCAGCGGGTTCGGATGTAAGCGTTAATATAAAATATATATTGCATCTGTTCTCATTTCAAATACTTCTTTTATGTGCCGTGACCTTTCAGGTCGTGGATGATCATGGTTCTCCACAACTTCCTATTTTTTAAATAATGCTTCGCAATGTTTGTCTTTCTACTATCAACCACACTCCCTGTTCTGCAATTATTTTGGGTAGGTTTCTCACTGTCTCTCTTTATCATTCTTGCCTTCAATATATTCTGTGAGTTTCTAATTCTCCAAGCCTTCTTTTCTCATTTATCTTTCCTCAAAATTTCAACCGTCTTTTTCTGATTCTCAGTATAAGCGTCATTTTCGCTTCCATTATACTTAAAACTTTCTCGCTGCTCATATGTTCCTGCCATGGTATACTCAGTATTCTTTTGTTAAGCCACATCTCTGTAACTTCACTAATGCTTTATACACAAACGACTTACACTTGATCAGTTTCTAAATAGAATTCATCACGGTATGAATTTTTTTTTTTAATTTTAAATGTCGCCTCTCAATTTTCGTATTTAAATATTATAAAAAACCTTTTTTCCTTTTTTTTACTTTCTTTTTATTTAACGAACCTACATGTTGACATTATCCTGGTGTCATATTTGTCAAAAAGTAATTTTTATCTAGCACACATCTAGAAAGTATCATTATATTTAATACGGATAAAATAACAACATCTATATAATAAGTACGAATTTCGGTGTGTCACTCTGTCATACTTTTTAAATTAAAGGGACATGACTCTCTCTAAATTTCAATAGCTCATCTTCTTCTATATAATAAATGCAAATGTCAGTATGTCACTCTTTTTCAACTTTATTCCTAGAGGGCGTAGCCCAATACATCATACCATTTTGGAATCAGGCCGACTCTGTGAGCAAATTATAAACATTCCGGTCTGGATCCGAAATCCTGAAATTTTGGATTCCCAATTTTTCATTACTGCGATTGTTTTCGGCAATTTTTTTATGTGATTTTTTTGCCACGATTTGTTTTGTATGATAACAATTTTTATGGCTTAGAAATAAATTTGGGAATAATCGAAATTGTGAAATCCAGTGAAAGTCACCCATGAAATAAAAATAATTGTTTGTACTGAAAATAAGGACCTACGTACATCTGTCTTTAAATTAAGTGACAGCAGAAGAATTATCGTTGAATTTTAAAAGGTGAGCTTAAATATTAAGGCAATATTTAAATGCAGCGATCAATTTTGAGTTCTTCTGTAGTTTATTGTTACCTATCGTATCTACTCTTTCCTACCTATTGTGATGAAAATCCTAATCAATTACTTTTCTTTCTTAGAGAGGATAAAAGCGATGATTACTTCCTTTTGAAAGTGGCGAGTTCAATCCCTGAATGGGGCAAAGTCAAATATAAACAAGCACAGTTGCAGAGGCAATCCGGTATCACAAAGAAATGGCGGCTGTGTGTTCCCTAAGAAAGACAGCAGAGGCTACGGGAATATGAATAACCTCGTAGATAAAAGTTTCCACATTCCCAGATGTTTGACGGTCACGCAAGAAAGCTCAAGATGAACAAAAAAAAAAAAAAACGAAGACGAGGAAATTAATTTCAATGACTCAATATGGCGGGTGTAACAGCAAAATTGTCCAAATCATGTTACGGCATAATTGTCCATCCCACAACATGTTTAATATCTAAAAAAAAAAAAAAACACTACACTAATTGAGCTTCTTCTTATCAGGTTTTCAAATAAGACGTTTGGCTATCTTGACATCATTTGTCATAAAAATCACTGAAAAACCCTTTGATTTATTCGGCTAGAAAGAGAACAGGTTAAAATCGTTTTGTGCCAGCCCCGTTGTCTTCCCAAGTGAGCAGTGGTGAGAGGAAAAAGATTATTCAAACCTTCATTTATGGTACCAACATTCATACTCTGGCTTTCCATCTTCAAGGTCCATTCAAGAACCATCAAGAGAACAATGAGTAAGTTTAAAAAAGAGGGAACAGTAGAAAGGAAAACTGGATCAGGAGGTCACAACAGGAAGAGGGATCATCATTTCAACTTGGAGCTAAATACATTCTAATTGTTCAAAGTAGAGACCAATAATATTATTAAAAAAAATCTCGGAGAATTCCATTAAGATATATTTAATAATTTCTAGGATACAAGAACTCAACGCTTTATCTAAGAATTGGACAGTTTTGCTGTTACACGATTTGGACAATTTTGCTGTTACACCCGCTATAATATCTTATCACATCAGCATCAACCAAGAGTGTTTTGACGTTGGTCAATGGATAATGATGTAGTCTGCATTATTATTAGTAAGTTAAATCGACACTCGATAGCCCATGCATTTGCCTTTGTTCTAAGCTTAGGACGCAACAGGCATCAGTTTGACACACAGTACTGTTTTATCGAGATTCACTCAGATTGAAACAGTTTGGGCTCTTCGACGTGATGCAATGACGATTTTCCAAGCGTAGCTTAGATATGCCACAAGACCGAAAATGTAAAGCACCCAGTGAGTATCGAAATCACTACTCAGTCGTAATTGATCTAGCAAGACAAGCTTGCCAACTATTACAGCACGTCGAAGGGGCACTTTGCCGTGCGTGATTTAATAATTAGCAAGCTCGTCTCGCGAGATCAATTACAACTGAATAGTATGTTCGATGCTCACTCGGTGTCCCTTACTTTCGACCTTGTGCCACACTTGAGTTACGCTTAGAAAATCACCATAGTAAAAATATTAGTCTGTCTACCGATCTTATCGGCCAACAGGAATAAATTCCATTCCCGTTGTGTAGTTCTAAGTATTTTATCTTTTACGTTTCCTTGAAATTTCTTCGTCCTGGGTATGACGATAAACTACGTCCAATGGCAAGGCCTCTGATCAGGAGGTTTTGAGGAGCGTGGAACCACCTCTTAATTGCTGGTGTTCCCAGGTCCAAACTGACCCCGGGTAGTAACACCTGTTAGGGTCCCAGCTATGGGTAAATAGTTAACCATCAAATTGGAGTCAAAACACTATGAAAGTGTAAAATATGTTTTAATACCATTTTTTTAATTAAAATACACCTTTAAGTGCTGAATCTAGATGCGTCGTCAGTGTTGTTGCTCCCATGTCACTAGAAGTTTCGGGTCTAAATAAACAACATACTTTGTAAAAAAATTATTACCACCAATACATTATGTCTAGCGATACATTTATGAAGAAAATATATAACCAGAAATATATTTTTGAGGGAAAAATATTAATAGCAATACATTTTTTTTTTTTTTTAAATATTACCAGTAATAAAAATTTTGTCGGCATTAAATAACCCATTTAAATCAAACCAAACCAAACCGTTTAATTTCTGGAATGTAAAGTTATCATTGTTTACATTACAATAGGACTTTTTCATTGTTTCGGCCCTTGTGATATTCGACCTTCTTCAAATGCCTCTCGATCAGGGTAACCTTCAAGAAATTTTGAACTGAACACTTTATTTGAACTACGGGGAGAGATTGTTCTAGTGTCTAAGAATAGAATTATCTTTGCTTAATCGTCTTTTTTTGTCTTTTTTTTTTAGTACTGCTCAGTAATTACTCGTCTTATGAATATATCCGTACTACCTGAATTTCTTTTTTTTTTTTTTTTTTTTTTTTTTTTTTTGGCTTGTCAAAATTGGCCGAGTCTGTCACATACCTTATTGCCGACCTCCGAAAGACATTTACTGTTTTCAACAGGTCGGACCGATTTCGAAACAGATACGAAATAGTCCCGACTTTATTAACAAAAAAAATAAAATAAAATAAAGCATCAATTCCTTTTCATTATAAGGGGTCGTTCAGTGCATTTCTCGTGATAGTGGGCGAGAATTTTTTTTTTTTTTTCACTTTTAAGTGACTGTGACATGATATGGGTTGTACGCAGTACCCCATAAGCTGTACCCATGTCTGGCATAAAAGGAAGTGTTAAACGCAACATATCCGTAGATACCCATTGGGGTAGCGAAAAGTTGTATTCCCCAGGGGAGGTGAGATGAGGGCATTCCTACCAAGGGTCACTTTGCTTATTTTCAGCATTTTATTTCCTCTTTTCTTTCATTTCATCTATTTATTCATTGTTCCTTTAATATATAATTTTTCTCCTGATTAATTTCATAAATAGATTAAAATTAAATCTATTCATAATTTGAAAATAAGCTGTTTCACAAATTGAATGGTGTCGTCTATCAAGGCGACAGCAAAAAATTATACAAGCATTAATGTATATTTGGGCAGGAAGGTTTTTTTGAAACATCTTTCCTTAAATATGGTCGACAAGGAAATTTTAATCAATTTTTTTATTTAGTTTTTCCAGTGTTTGGTGGGAGTACATAAAATTTCCATGATTTTCATTGTCCCAAGCGTTTTCCGCCATTTTAGCCATTTTCAGGGGCTATTTTTTAAAGGATGGCTATACATTTTCAGAGTTGTATATTTAGGCAGCAGTTGGTCTATAATATATGCTTTGTTAAAATGAATGACATGGTCTTTCTGTAAAGATCTTTATTGCCTTTTCATGTATGACAACAGACTTGCGGCCTCATCAAATTGAAAAGATCGGTTCATGTACGATCACAGAAGTTAAGCAACGTCGAGCCTTGTCAGTACCTAGATAGATGACCGCTTGGGAATACCAGGTTCTGTAAGCTTGGATGTACTGTTGGTATAATGGCTTAGAATTTTTAAAAAAAGAGCCAAGTACCAATCGACGTTGGGTTCGTTATATTCACTTACGCGCATATAACCTCTTTCCCCTCCAGCTATGGGTTAATTAGTAAGGCTTGTATCGCTAAAACATTATTTTCTCCATCCCCAAATTCTTGCAATCTGAAAATATTTGATGGCTTTAAATAACCTGCAAAATGTTGATGAGCTGTAGATTTGAATTATTCATTTATTTCGCAAAAGTTTGATAGCAAATAAAAAAAAACAACAAATCAATCAATCTATAACATATTTCTGGTCTCATACTTTAGAATCTATAATATAAAAGCAAATGTTCTCTGTCCATCACACACTGTCTGCGTGTGTGTGTGAGAATGCGTTTATTTAATATAAAGTGTGCGATGGATAAATTGTCGCCTAAATGACGCAAAATGTAAATAACACTGATATCTCATTTGAACAGATCTATTTACCAAATTTACATTATTCGGACTATTGTCTTCATCTTTGTCGCCATATTTATCACGACGTTTCGGCTGTTGTACTCTCCGGCCTTCTTCGTTGTGGGAATGTCGAACTGAACCTTTTATTTCGCTCACTGGGGTAGACTGTTCTTGTTCCACGTGCCATGTCTAATGGATGTCAGTTATCAGTTATCTCCCGTTAATTCCCCTCTCCAAGTTAAGGCAGTGGAGAACTTTGAGAGGGGAATTAACAGGAGATAACTGATAACTGACATCCATTAAACATGGCACGTGGAACTAGAACAGTCTACCCCAGTGAGCGAAATAAAGGGTTCAGTTCGACATTCCAACTACCTGAACTTCTTGCTTGTGGAACTCTCTTCTGGCTTCTTGCTTTCCAGTCAACTTTGACCTTGAAAAATTTAAATGCAATGTCAATCGGTATCTACTGTCTTCTTGATTATCCTTCTGTTGTTCTCGCTGCTTAAAAATGTTTTGTTCCTATTGTTTTACACTCAGTAACCCCTTGTGTCTTAGTAGCATTACTGCCATGCATGGAGTGAAATGATTTAAAAAAAAAAAAAAAAACGAGAGCATTACTCTAGTTCTGGAGTTCTCCTAGCGGACGAAAAGCGATACACATTTTTTTTTCCCATTTTGTCGTTCATTAGTCCAATATAAATGTTTTTATTGTACATGAGTGACTTACATGTCCCTGTGTCAATCAATCAATCGACTATATGTGAGCACGAGATTAATCTTTTGAGCTTTGAGAGTAAATGGCTGTTAGAGCAGGGATCGACCACGTCCTGAAGCTACATAGAAGAAGATTAATCTGTCCACTAATCTTTCAGTTAATCTGTTAAGGATTTTCAAAGATTTTTGTTATATAATTGTAAATGATCATAAATGCTATTTATTGTAAACGGTGTACTATCGGCTGAAAGGTAAACATTTATTTCCGAATACGACCAATACATCGTAGCCGCGTTCATAATTAATGTTCTAGATGGTTGATTCCTTTTTTAACGACTACAATTAATTTTAGACGCTTTTTGCAGTTGGACATGCGTTTATATTTGTGTTTCAGGCTGAGAGACGGCGTGAGCAGTCTGGTCCTACGTGGAATCGCTGTCTCTGGTGAGACTCGAGCATCGCTTCTGCATACGCCGATGACGTATCCATTGAGGTGGTACAGAAAGCGCTTGAACGATATGAAAAAGTCATGGGGGCCAAGATTAACCATAACAAGTTTTCCGGATTACAGTTAGGTGCCTTGAAGGGGGTCGCCCGTCCGGGACTTTTTGGTTGAACTAATAGACCTACACGAATTCTTGGAGTGTGGTTCGGGCCCAGACACAAACTAGAAAAGAATTGGTCAGACGTACAATGAAAGGTTGGAGCGTCGGCTAGGACTTGGCTCCGAAGAAGGTTGTCCTTGAAGAGTAGGGCTGAGGCGTGTGCCACTTAATCTTTCCTCTCATCCTTTACCGGTTGTCTGTATTCCTCTCTGCAAGGACCATATGAAGGCGATCGAGCGCTAGTTGCTCACCCTCCTGTGGGGTCGTCGCAAGCAGAAGGTCCGCGGAGTAGTCTCTGTCCAACGTCCGAGTCATGTGGGAGTTGGATTGCCACACTTGGTGAGTCATCGATACGCCTCGATCGAAGTTGACTTTCCTACGCCGCGCTTTGACAGAGGACTTGATCTTGAAGGGTAATGTTAGGGACACCTTCCTTAGCCTTACCATCACTTCTCCAGTTTTAGGGCATAGCACCGTCGTAAGCAGTCGAGTTTCCTCAAAAAATGTCGAGCGGTCTTGAGGGTCGTTCCTCGGTCCAGTAACCTTTCACGGCCTAGGAAGTTCTTGTATCATGAATTAATCGATGGGGTCGCGAAGGATTCACTCTGTGGTCGGCTCGGCTTAACGGCGGCTGTGTTGCGCTCTTTCTGATCTTGGGTGCCAGCGGCGAATTACCTCAGTAACCATGAGTTTTCGCTTACCTGGCGATTGATTCGAAACGTGCTATCTCTCAGTGACATGACCTTAAGACGGGGTGGAGCGAATTTCTGTGATCTTGGTTTTGAAGAAACGCCTTCACACGCCTTCTACCATTGTCCTAAGGTGCGCGCTTTCTGGGACTATGTCGTATCGCTCCTAAAAATTTCGTGCTCAGCGACCTCGCATACGCTTGCGATAATATAACGCCCTCGTATTCTGTAGTGGAACGAATTGTGTTTCTAACACTGCTAAACGTGGCAAGAATGGTGATCTGGACGACACGAATGGAGAGAATCTTGCGATACGAAACCTATTCTGATCAGGATCTGGTCGAAGTTTTTCAGCATCAGCTGAAGAGGAAGATCAGAACTGGTATCGACAGATTCAGTGAAAGGTGGGTGAAAGTAGCGAGATTGGTTTGTGTGAAAGTAGCTATCCTTGAGTTGCTTTTTTAAGTCCCTTTGGTTAAAACGGGGCGGTTTCCTGTGAAACTCTACCCCTGGATAAGTTAGACTCTTTTTGTTTACCTAGTTAAAGTGGGTAAGTGTAATTCCTGGCCGGTTCCAGGTATCTCCTTTACCCACATCCATATTTATTTTATCCTTCCCTCTCTGTTAATGAGTGAGCTGCTTGATTCTGTCTGAAGAGAGAATACTGACACCATTCTTATTTTTGTGGGTTGAACGTGTCCTGCTAACATGTTATTTTCAGTTTGATACTTTGTTATATTTTAGTTTAATTTTTTTTAGATAGGTAATGAAGATAAGTCTCCCCGACTTCCCCTTATGTCCTTGTGCCACAAATGTTGTATTTTTATAATAATAAATCAACATTTGATTTCTAGCTGCCCAAGTGCAAGACCAGTCGTCGTCGTGGATAAATGCATTCGTCACAGATGGTATCAAGATGGTATAAGAGGTTGTGAGCATCCAACAGATGGTATTATAAGGTTGTAGGCATGCTGCAGATGGTATCCAGATGGTATCAAGAGGTTGTGAGCATCCAGCAGATGGTATCAAGATGGTATTAAGAGGTTGTGAGCATCCATCAAATGGTATTAAGAGGTTGTAGGCATCCTGCAGATAGTATCAAGATGATATCAAGTGGTTGTGAGCATCCAGCAAGGATTGTATCAAGTTGGTATCAAGAGGTTGTGGACATCCGGAAGATGGTATCAAGATGGTATCAAGAGGTTGTGGGCATTCGGCAGATGGTATCAAGATGATTTGAGCATCCAGCAGATGGTATCAAGAGGATGTGAGCATCCAGCTGATGGTATCAAGATGGTATCAAGAGGTTGTGAGCATCCAGTAGATGGTATCAAGAGGTTTTGAACACCCAGCAGATTGTATCAAGATGGTATCAAGAGGTTGTCAGCATCCAGCAGATAGTATCAAGAGGTTGTCAGCATCCAGCAGATGGTATCAAGAGGATGTGAGCATCCAGCTGATGGTATCAAGATGGTATCAAGAGGTTGTGAGCATCCAGTAGATGGTATCAAGAGGTTTTGAACACCCAGCAGATTGTATCAAGATGGTATCAAGAGGTTGTGAGCATCCAGCAGATGGTATCAAGAGGATGTGAGCATCCAGCAGATGGTATCAAGAGGATGTGAGCATCCAGCAGATGGTATCAAAATGGTATCAAGAGTCTGTCTATATTTCTGAGATGAGGTATTATGTACATTATTTACATTATTCGGACTATTGCCCTCATCTTTGTCGCCATATTTATCACAACGTTTCGGCCGTTGTACGCTCCCGCCTTCTTCAGGTGGTTGGAATTTCGAACTGAACCCTTTATTTCGCTCACTGGGGTTGACTGTTCTCGTTCCACGTGCCATGTTTGATGGATGTCAGTTATCAGTTATCTCCTGCTGATTTCCCCATATGGACACATGGCACAGTGGATAACGGCGTTGGTTAGATCCAGTGACGGGACCCAAAGAGTGTGAGTTCCATACCCGGTTAAGGCAGTGGAGAACTTTCAGACCCTTGGCACCTCATTTCAACTCCAAAACCACAAGTGAAAAATTTTGCTTGTTTGGATAATGGAATTTTTAAGTATAAAAGTTTTGGAAATTTTTAATTTAAATATTTTTTTTACTTTTATTTTTTAAACCAATGTTATTGAAAAATATGTATTAGATATGTTTCAACAATCTTGTATTAGTGTCCACAGTATCGTTAATGTTTTCTATAGTGTATCACTGCCAAGAACCATAAAATACGGATTATTAAGGATGTTCAGGACTCAAGATTCCGGATTTCCTGGTACTTGTTACATTAACCCTTTGAGCTCTGCGTTCCTGAACAATTTTAACCCTTCTAGCTGAACTCCCGAATTAAAATTCGCAAATAATTGGTTTGTAATATTTCACGGTAGATATAAAAATAGTTACAAGTGTTTACCCACCGTTCAGCAGATGTCTTGGCATTAAGTCATTTTTCTCTACCACTGTTCAACCGGTGGCTAGGCATCACATCATGTTTCTCCACCACCGGTAAGGCGGTGGTCA